TGCTCTAATAAATTTGTTAGTCTCTAATGTGCCACAAGTACTCCTGTTCTTACCCTTTTAGATACCTGAAGACTGCTATCATGTCTCCTCTCAGTCTTCTGTTTTCCAAACTAAACAAACCCAATTCTTTCAGCCTTCCTTCATAGGTCATGTTCTCAAGACCATTAATCATTCTTGTTGCTCTTCTCTGGACCCTTCCAATTTCTCCACATCTTTCTTGAAAGGCGGTGCCCAGAACTGGACACAATACTCCAGTTGAGGCCTAACCAGTGCAGAGTAGAGCAGAAGAATGACTTCTTGTGTCTTGCTCACAACACACCTGTTAATGCATCCCAGAATCATGTTTGCTTTTTTTGCAACAGCATCACACTGTTGATTCATATTTAGCTTGTGGTCCACTATAACCCCTAGATCCCTTTCTGCCGTGTTCCTTCCTAGACAGTCTCTTCCCATTCTGTATGTGTGAAACTGATTGTTCCTTCCTAAGTGGAGCACTTTGCATTTGACTTTGTTAAACTTCATTCTGTTTACCTCAGACCATTTCTCCAATTTGTCCAGATCATTTTGAATTATGACCCTGTCCTCCAAAGCAGTTGCAATCCCTCCCAGTTTGATATCATGTGCAAACTTAATACACGTACTTTCTATGCCAATATCTAAGTCATTGATGAAGATATTGAACAGAGCCGGTCCCAAAACAGACCCCTGCAGAACCCCACTTGTTATATCTTTCCAACAGGATTGGGAACCATTAATAACTACTCTCTGAGTACGGTTATCCAGCCAGTTATGCACCCACCTTATAGTAGCCCCATCTAAGTTGTATTGTTTATTGATAAGAATATCATGTGAGACCGTATCAAATGCCTTACTAAAGTCTAGGTATACCACATCCACTGCTTCTCCCTTATCCACAAGACTCGTTATCCTATCAAAGAAAGCGATCAGATTGGTTTGACATGATTTGTTCTTTACAAATATGTTGTTTCTTAATAGCAGAGATGTGCTAACGACTGGGATCAGATGCTGCACAGTTCCGTATCAGGCAGAGCTGTGGAACGCCAGGCTGTGGGAAGCACATGGCATAAAGCAACTGAATGCTGCTCTGCCAGGTGCCTCAGAGGCTGTTGCAGGCGAAGTGTCCATCTGTGCTAGGGAACGCAAGCCCACTGTGCTCACGCTGCATGCATGTGACCCAGACACAATATTTACACTGCCGGGCTGTCCATCAGGAACAGTCTTTCAAGAAAAGTAAAACAATGACCTTGTGTTTTCTTTGGAACGTCTGAGAGCATTGTACAGTTAGCAGCACAGGCCCTGATCTACAATCAGCCCCCACTCCTCTGCCACCTGCTATGCCCCCCCCGCAGCACTGAACTGAGTCAGGGTTGTGATCTCAGACGCTGACACAACACCATTGTCATGCAAAGAATGCAGCGCTTTCCTGCTCTGTGAAAATATTTTGTACAGTGCATTTTCCACCCTCTCTGGAAGAGACTGTGTCCGGATTCCTTCTGCACGGCTCTTTCCCCCCCGACCCCCCCGGAGCGGTGCTGACTAATGCTCCCGTTTTTCTCCCCCAGAGCTGCAGAGTTTTATTTACACTCCCACGTGGGGAAGTTTGATAACTTTGAGTTAAGATTGCCGGAGTGGATTTCCTCATAAATGCAGACACACTAAGGCCACGCCTACCCTTGTGGCAGTGTGTGTGGTGTATGCATAGCTACACGCCGCAGTAGGGTGACCAGATGTCCTGATTTTATAGGGACAGTCCCGATTTTTGGGTCTTTTTCTTATATAGGCTCCTATTACCCCCCCACCCCCGTCCTGATTTTTTACACTTGCTGTCTGGTCACCCTACGCCGCAGTGAAAAGCAGGCTGCAGCCACACTGTGGTGTGTTGCTACACGTGACAGTGAAAGGCTCTTGCGGGGGGCCGCAGCAGGACTCTACACCATGTGGACGTGGGAGACACTGCTTGGGTGAGTAGATTGTTGTGTAGGGTATATGCCCTAAGGGTCTGGCATGTCTGTACTGTACTCCCCTAACCAGCGCCTCACCATCTACACTGCTATTGATACTCATGCTAGCTGGGCTTGCTGTGCCGGTATGCTACATGCTGCCATAAGAAGCAAGGAGAGTGATGGCTACCGTCCTACAACACCATTCTCCAGGCGTTACCCTCTGCCATCGTGACCGCACCACACCAAATGCCCTAATTTTCCCTCCAACAATAATAGTGCCTTAGGAGCACATCTCAAAGGACTGAAATCACAACGCAATACATCACCTTAACTCTGGCCTTCCAGTGATACAGTGTTTAATAATGTAACGATAATTCTTTCTTAAAATTACAATCTTAGCATCTTTGCATGCCAGATGCCAGATAGAGAAGGAATGTAAGGTTTTGCACATACTCATCATTACTTATCTGCTGTTTATTTACACCAGGACTTGATACACTGTACCAAACAAATCGGAACCCAAACATTATTGAAAGATAAACTGTTACCTAAAAGCCTTTGTAATGTGCTATATAATGAAATAAGAAATCAACAGATCAGAGTTCAGGCTGTGCATCACAATGTGCTTTCCAGTTCTTTGACTGATCCTGTGAGGGTGATAGCATAAAGCCGTCATACAAACCCTGAACTCTGACCTCATACTTCACCATACAAAACACAACAACAACACATCCCTCAGGTCACTGGGACGCAGAAGCCCAGCAGACCTTTGTTTTCATTTTGCTGAGGTTGGAGAGGTTTTGTGCTACAGTGTGATGATAATGTTTGTGTTGCGTTTCTGTGTATGTTGGAGGCATAAAGGAATTATAGAGAGGCAGAATCTGTTAGTGAAGCATAAATGTGATGTGTTGGGAAGCATCTCAACTGAACATTTTTTGCTTTTAAGTGTGTGTGTGTGTGCGTGTGTTGGGGCGGGTGTGTTGATGGATGTAGTGGGCTGTTCTGGCTTAAGCAGCCTTAACTGGTGGGGAGAATTTGGGGGGGGGGGGCAGCTTCTGGTTTTGCAAACCTATGTCAGCTGGATCCAAACCCCAAACCAGGAGGGAATCTGGGTCCCATTTATCTGGTTCTCATGAAGTTGCCTCCGATTTATTCCCTCACCAAATAGCATGTACATCTGTACCAAGTGAAGAGGCTCATCTGAGTGCATGGTAGGATTTGCAATACAGGATCTGACCATCAAACCGTCTAGACCAGCAGCCGTCAGCGGCCAGTATCTGAGGCGTCAGACGAAGGTGAAAATCCTGAATATTGCACGTACCCAGTTGTGAAATGTTGTATGTTTTAGAAGACGGGGAAGTTTTCCTTCCTCATACCAGTGAACAACTAATTTATATCCTGATTGTGAAGCATGAGTGTTCAGAGACTTTAAGTTCAGAAAGAACTATTAAAACACAGGCCATGGAATTTCACCCAGTCATTTCTGCATTGGGCCCAACAGCTGGTGGTTGACCCACAGTGTGTATTTCAGAAAGACAACTCAAGACTTCCAGAAATGGCGAATCCACCATTGCCAATACCCCGGTAAGCTGTCCCAGTGTTAATTGCCAACCCTGTTAAAAATGTGTCTTTTTTTCCATTTTGAACTTCACTTATTTCAGCTTCCAGCCACCAGATCATGTTAGGAAAGAACAGAACCCCGCAGGGGTGGTTTCTAGTCCCCTGCTCTAACCATTAGCCTACCAACAGTACAAAGGAGCACCTCTGAGAGCTTTTCATATACCCCACTCGTTCCCTGCCTGAATGGAAAGGGGAGAAAAGATCATTCAGAAGGTGGCTCACAGCCAAGGTGGCTCACAGCAGTGATACCAGAATACAATCCATTCTGCACAAGAGGGGTTGCTGTTTAGGGTACGCAGGTCAGTGAAGCACCTATACCCCACTGAAAGTCAATCAGACTTAGGAACAGATTTTTAAAGGTATTTAGACACCTCACTCCCTATTTCAATGAGACCGTGGCACCTAAATACCTTTAAAAATCGGGCCCTTAGATTCCTAGGTAACTTTGGTGCTTTTGAAAATAGGATTTAGGCTTCTAAGGGCTTAAGTGCTTTTGAAAATTTCCTTTAACATTTGAATACCAATTTGCCAAGCTTTCCCGAAGGCTGCAGGCCACAGAGATCTCTATCAATACGAAATGTGCCAAGCCCTGATATTCCTGGAACACGTTCTGTTCCTTGATTCCACAGGTCTCATTCTGGCAGCTACCCCAGCTACTTATTAAAAACAACTCAACAATTTTGTAAACATTAATGAAGCCTCTCAGCATCCCTGAACCATGGATCAAAATTAAACTGTTTATTAGTCATATTGCAGGGGCACCCATGGGCCTCAGTCATACATCAGGGCCCCGCTGTGCTAGGTGCTGATCACACATAGAAGAAAGAGATGGTCTGTGCGCCAAACAGGTGGGGATTACCAGGTAACAATGAGACAATTATTCATTATTTTACAAATGGGGAAACTGAGGCACAAAGCCAGAAAGTGAGTTGTTCAAGGTCCTAAAACAAGTCACTGGCATACAACCCAAGAATCCCAATCTCCCCTTCTAGCCAGCAAGCAGCAGTCACTCCCTCCCTCACACCCTAGCTGCTCCACTGGGAGTATTGCGACCCGGCTTCTATTCCCCTATTTGAGACTCACTGGACAGCCAGTCTCTGGGCCTGTTTCTCCACCTGTACAATGGGAGATCAGTATATTTCTCTCCCAGATGTGGTCTGTGGTTTATTTCAGAGGCATTGTGCAATGCATTGAGGAGCTCAGATGACAGGCATAGAAAAGCTCAAAGTAGCATTACTCTAACATGCCTGTAAAGGATGCTAGGGGCACCACTCAGGGTCTCGAGTAGTAGGGGTGAAGTGTAAAAAATGTATTGAACGTTTCCTGAACTTTTACTGAATAGTATCAGCTTTGTGAGCTAACTAAAACCGCAATTCTGCAGTCTATGAAGAAGTGACAAAACAAGCAAGTAATAATTACTTTAAACGTATTGACTGATAAACAATTAATCAAGGGAAAATTTCCGTGATTCGATTGCCCTCCACATTTTGGCGATTTTCTCAGTGTCCAGGGAGTCGACTATGTTCAGTTCACAAGGAAGAAGTCCAACTAGTCATCACCCACAGTAGCACCATTTTGACCAGTTTCATCCTGCTAAAGATTCATTCTCCTTTTGTAGAAGTTACAGAGATTGTCTTTGTCATTTTAAATACAGTCCACAAGTTCAGGAGCCCCTTTTGGATCCCACATGTATGTCTGATTAGTACATCAAAACCAATATATAAACTTGTTCCAAAATTCTTTTCAGCGTCAGCTTGGAACAAAGTCAGTTCTATCCCCAACTGTTCAGGTTGCACTTTGCAAAAAGGAAAAGCCTGAGTGAAGCGTTTGCATTTTGTTGCGTCAAGGTCTTCCAGGCATGTGATAACCGGCAGGATCTTTTATTTCATCTCCTTATAAGCCAGATATAGCCCCTGCACCGTAACTGCAAGTGTTTTCTGGACTTCTGATCTGTAGAACTCTTTAAATGATGGCTGTCTATGGAGTGCATTGCGAGGGTCTCGAAACCGAGCAAGGGCCTGTCACGTTCGATGCCTTATTTCAAGCTCTTGCTCAGGGTCATATTCCTCAGAGCCATCGTCTTACAAATAATCTATAACACTACTGTCTTTACTGAAGCAGTTATCTCGTTCCAGGTTATTTGGTTCAGACGTCACGTGATGTACATCAGTCAATCAGCTGTAACAATGTCAAAGTCCTCAGGGAAGATATTATGAAAGCATTTGATTTTTTTGTGCCAAGGTCTCATGAATCTCAGAACAAAAATGAAATTGAAACAATGAACGGAGGCAAAGAGGCTTCCAGCTTCAGCTCTCATTTCTGAGTCATGCTGTAGAATCATGAGAAATATCATTGAGAAGCTTCACCACTTCTGGTTGAGTGCTCCAGGTAGTCTGCAGCAATTCTTTCCTAGCACACCAGCAAGTTTCCCAAAACCTTTTCACATGAAGTTTCCCCTCTACCATTTCCAGTGCACCTTTGTAAAGTACATAACATTTGTTCCACTGGTAACGAAGTTGTAAATGCTTGTAAAAGTCCCAAACACATTTCTTATGATGGCATTAGCTTTGCAAGTGTGCTTTACTATATTATTTTCTCAATGGCCCAAGCATTGGAAATACAGAATCTTCCAACCTAGCATTGAGCTCATAGAAGTTTTCACTCCTTCAAACCGTCCAGACATGGTGCTGGCAAAATCACATGATAGAAAGACAATATAGTTTACATCCAGTCTTAAGGCATAGATGTATTTCACAATTTTGGCTGCTAAGTTTTTACACTTCATTGACTTTGCTTCAACAACAGCTATTGTTCTTTCTTTAGCAACACCTTTACTGTTGACATATCTCATGCCCACAACTAACTGTTCAGCATGGCTGACATCAGGTGTCATGTCAGCAAAGATGCCAAGGAACTTGCATTTGTTCAAGTCTTCCCAGATTGTGTTCTTGGCACCATCTGCAAGAATCTTGATGAATTCATTCTGACACTTCCGCTTTATGAGAGTGTCCATAATGATTTTCCAGCCATGCCCTGAGATGGAGTTTCTATTTGGAAATCAGTTTGGCTAGTTGATGAAAATTCCCCTTTGTCTCACATTGGAACCCCAAAAAGCAAGCTGTTGATGAGCTAGAACTTTTGTTATATCAAGGAACATTGATATATTACATTTTTTCTCAGCTTCAACTTCTCTTGATATTGACAGGTTCCTATCTTGATATTTCAATAGTGTCTCACTAGAAGCACAGACATTCATGAATTTTATGTAGACCATGGGCACTGCCTTGTGTGATTCACTGTTAAAATGTTTTACCAAAAACCGGGGAGCATCTTTTCCCCAGGTTTTCATCCTGTCTCATACTCTGGATCCTGGTACAAAAGCATCACTGGCATTTGTTCTTCCTGGTTTGACAGGAAACTGAACACACAAAATTTGTGGGTCTTGAGGGTAGTTTTGAAGTCGGCACTGGCACAGACCTAAGTTTCTCAGGCAAATTTCTAGGCCACCTGCCAGGATCACGTTCCTGAACTCACAAATCAATGAAACAGAAATGTCACTAGTTGATGTGATTTGTGATGTGAATTTCTTTCCACCTCCAAGCAACATAGATACTTTGTTACTAGTCTCTTTGGCTATATCTAAGATTTTGTAAGATACAGCTCTAGGATCTAAAATGTTTGCTTTCTTTTCAGCAATGAAGCTATGTTCACAAGGTTTCAAGCTGTTAAATCAGAAGAGAATCCAAGCAGAGTGAAGATGGAAATTGGCTCCTCATTGGATTCCTCAAGCAATACTTTTTGGTCAATTTCACTTGGTAGAATATCATCAGCCAATAGTTTGTTATTGTTGTCATCCTGAACTAAAAGCATCATGTCAGAGTCAGGTTGGGTGTCAGTATTAAAAACAGCATTTTTCAATATTGAGTAAGTTATTGGCCTATCTTGTTTTTAGACAGGAAGCATTTTGAATATTTTAGATTAATAATTTGGCTCTATGTAAAGATAGGCAGATTTACTCACATGGTTGTGCAAATGTTGCATCTACTTCCTTTTTAAGATCAGAAGAAACTTCATGAACAGTTGATGTATCTACAGGCAAAGGGGCCTCCGTATGCGGTGAGTCTGGGCTGGACGTGACTTTACTGGTATTGATACGTTCAGAAACTTTACTTAACTTCTGTCTTTTCCCACTTGCTGTGGCTTTAGCTGCTGCAAACAGATTGGCAAACTGAGGCATGTCTTTTAGAATTTGAAAATTCGAGATGAGCATGGCATCTTCTCACATGTTCATTAAAATAGTCTTTCTGAAAAGTACGTCTGCACTTGGAACAACGCACTAGCACTCCATTGCTTCTTGATGCAGATTTTTTATTTTTCACTCCGGACATGCTCTGAAAAAGTCAAATAAACATTTGGGAATCCAGAATTAACAAGATTATCAGATTTTATTACAGTAGCGGCTATTAATCCATGAGAGAACCAGTGTGACCCTGTCAAAGACAATAGACCTGATTCCATATAGACTCCTAGACTTTAATGCCAGAAGGGACCATCATGATCATCTACTCTGATCTGCTGCACATTGCAGGCCACAGAACCTCACCCACCCACTCCTGTAATAGACCCCTAACCTCTGGCTGAGTTACTGAAGTCCTCAAATAGGTTGTATGTCTACATTAACCAAAAATTCCTGTTAAGTACCACACAATGAACTGCAGATAAACCAACTTAATGGACAAATATGAAAATACCTATGAACGTTGCTTAAAGTTCAAGCAAGATTGTGAGAAAACTATTTTCCACTAAAAATTGTTGGAGAATTTATAAATGTGTTGACTTATCTTGTTCACTGAGTGGTTGTTGAGGATTTTTAAAACCATCTATCATCTTAAAGAAACAAGAAGGTCTTAATGAAAACAGAATCTATGTTGTCATGTGACTTTGTTCATAATTACATTTACTACTTCACTTCTTGTTGATCATTCATCTGTTACTTACCTTGGGAAAAACAACATTGCTTGCTATTTTTATCGATTGCTATTGTTACTTGTCACTCACACCAATGTAAATCACAGAAATAAATGTGAGAAGGTACCAAGATCATTCCAATGAATGTGGGGGTGCTGTGTGTATTGATGAATGAAACAAATAGAGTATTGTTATGTAACTCACCTAACATTAATTTCTCATCAGCATTGTTTTTCTATTTCAGAGCTACACTTGCTAGTTACAGGGTATTTAACAAAAATGAAAGCAGGTATTTAATTTCTGAGAGACATCAAAACTTTTAAAGAGTTTTACACAGTATAAGACTTAACAGGCAAAATCTCTCAGCTATAGCCAGAGATGGGAGAGGAAGGATGGGAATAGAAACTTTGCAGCTCCATATGTAGTAGGCAGTTGAGATAAATAATAAATATTTCTCATACAAACAGGGAGTTGGGGATGGGTGGGGAAGTGGAATTAGTGATGGAAATGAACAATGGGATAGGGAAGAACCCAGGGATGGGGGTCCTGAGGATGGGCATGGGGAAGCAAGGGGCAAGTGTTGGAATGTGCTGGAGGAGGCAGAAGGGGAGGAGTGGGTACTAGAGTTGTGTCTGCAGGCTTGGGTCCATGATCTCTATCTATGTGGAACTGGGGTGAGCAATGGGTTGGGGGTTGTGTGTGTGAGGGGGTTGTTACAAGATCGGGGTGTCGGGATGGGGTTTTTCTGTTCTGTGGGGTGGAGGTGGGACTAGAATCAAAGGGTGATACGGAGGCCATGGGGGTTAGGAGGTGGAGTTCTGGGGCTGGGGATCTGAGGGTGCGGATGGGATTGACTGGTTTGAGGGGAGAAGTCCCCAGTTGAGGGAATAGATTGGGATAGATACTGGGGTGGGGTTTTGGGGCTGGAGTCAGGTGGCCCAAGGAGGCAGGGGATGGGCCAGACCAGATCAGATCCTGAGCCATGAAGTTGAATTACTGGGTGGGTGTAGTGGGGCGACTGCCCCACTCCTGCAGAACAGGGGTTAAAAGCAGCCAAGCTAGGCTGATTGGGGAAACAGCCTCTGGTGTGGCCAGCTCAATTAGGGCCCAACTGGCCCCGATGAGAGGGCTGGGGGCCAAGAGCTGAGGAGTCTCTCTCTAGCGGTGGCGAGAGAAGGACCGAGCTACCGGGAAGGTCAGGGGACCGGGAGTGGAGCAGGGCTGGGGAAAGGCAAGAGGAGCTGGGGCACTCCAGCCTGGCAAATCCCCAGGCTGAGGCCTTGCTAAAGGCCAAAGCAGGTAATGGGGTTGCAGAGGTGCAGCCCAGGTTTAGGCAGAGGCAGCTGGTCCCACCCCCTTGCCAATGATGAGTGGTTTGCCCCAGTGAGCGGGGGCTGGATGACGACTGGCAGTCCCCACTGAGGCAAGGTGGGGATAGAGGGTTGGGGGTTCCCCTGAGAGGGGAGACCCAGAGTGGGGGTACTGCGGAGGGCAGACCCCCGAAGTACAGGGCACCGGGTCCAGGAGGGACATGGGGGCCAGCTACAGGCAAGACACTGGCCAGTAGGAGGCGCTCTGTATGCTGGAGAACTAATTCCTGAGACGACCAGCAGGAGGCGTCGTGCCGGTGAGTCTCAACTTCGCTCCAGTGGGCTTTGTGCTTTTCTGCACCTCCCCCACTATGTGCTAGCGCCTCCTGGCTGCGCTCTTTGCCAGGAGACAGTGGCGAAGTTCAGGCTCCTGGGTGGGGCCAGCACCAGCCACACTGTAAAAAAGGTCTGGCAGTGGCAATGCTGTTCCCCAGGGCATCATGGTCCCCTTCCCCAAGGTACCCCCACAGCTGGCTCATCCTCATCCCCCCTCTCCCACTGCACCCCAACAACTGACTCCTCAGCATCCTCCCTTCCCCACTGCACCCCCACAACTGACTCCTCAGCATCCTCCCTTCCCCACTGCACCCCCACAACTGACTCCTCAGCATGCTTCCTCCCCATGGCACCCCCAGAATCAGCTCCTCAGCCTGCCCCCCAGACAGTGTGTGGGAAGCCCTGGAGAGGCAGTGTCCCCCCCACCAGCCAGCAGCAGCAGCAGCCGGAGCTCCTGCGTTGCTGCCCGTTCTCTATGGGCAGGGGGAGACGCTGGCTGGGCACAGCCCTACCAGCCACGGGACATTTTACTGAAAGTGTCGGGAGCAGGGTTGGGCCTTCACCTCTCTCCCCCCGCCTTTTTGTGCTCCCCTGAGGGTGGCTAAGTTCCTGTTTATACCGGGGACTCGGCCAGGGTCGCCCGGCAGGCCTGTGGCAGAGCCAGGAACAGAGCAGAGGTCTCCTGAACCCAACCTGCTGCCTCAGGTCTGAGCAGTAATAGAAATGTGGCCCCTTGTGTGCAGAATGGGCCACACACCCACATTGGGGGCAATGAAGAGTGGTGCTGGCACAAGGGGGGCACTAGGAGCTATTGTGCCTCAGGAGACCTTGGGGTGAATCTGCCTTTGCCACCCCTTAGGAGGGTGCGGGTTGGGCTCTCCTAGCCAGTGTGGATGGGTGGGCTCCCTTCTCATCTCCACCCCTTTGGGGGAGGCTTGCACCTGGGGCGGGGGGAGATTCTAGCATCCACAGCACACAGGGATGGCACTGGGGCTCTGGGTGCCCTCGCACACCCACATACGGGTCTGGTGAGCAGCTGACTCTGGGTGGGGTTGACGAGCTTGTGTCTCCACTTTACACAGCTAGCTTGGGGGCTCCCTAGTGGCTTGGAAGCCATTTCTTCTTGAGAACAACACTGTGTGAAAAAGCTGTTCCTGGGGCAGTGTCCCAGAGGGGTTAGGAAGAGATAGCAGCAGGGCAAGGGCAAGTGAATCACACTCTCCTTGACTGACAGGACTAAGCATTCGAGGAGGAAAACAACAGGCACTCCTCCCGCACTGTTCCCCGGCCTAAAACACTTCTTCCAAAGCTCTTACATCACAGCAGGTGCCCTTGGCCTTATGGTCACTGGGCCCAGCTGGCAACAGGCACTTTCCTCGAGTGCATCCACCTATAAACGTTCTGCTTCCCTAGACCGTGCCCCCTCACCACCAGCCCCTCTCACTGCCCCTGCCCTAACAGTCTCAGCCTGCCCAGCCTTTCGCAGGCCTGGGGGAGTTGGGGAAAAGGGGCTACATATTTGAACAGCGCCGCTGGCCTCTGTTCAATGCAGGACACAATGAGAATTAATCACAGCCTGTCAGGAGGCCGCCGTATTTTTCCTTCATTCTTATTTGCGTGCTATCGCCTCGAAAACAGGATGGCAATGTTTTCCTGCTGCTTATTGACTGAGACTAAACAAGGAAGGTCATGTTTCCAGCCTGCCTCCCTCGGCTCTCTGATAACTCCAGGACTTTCAGGAATGGTTTTGGGGAAGGCAGTGGGGGGTGGATTTCAAAGCTCTGGCCTGCTGGCTGCCCAGGAGGGGTGGCCAGCAATCTTAGCAGGCATTCACCAGCACCACCACCAAGGTCAAGCTTTCCCGACTCTTCCTGACAGCATGACAAACTCCCCAAACAAATGGGACACTCAAAGCCCAGCGCCCTCTTCTGCATGGTGGGTTCCCAGCCTTGGTTTTCACGTGCTGTGCTGGATTACTAGCATTAGTTTATTATTTGTGGTATTGCAGGGCCCAGAGGCTCCAGTCAGCTTCAGAGCTGCATTGTGCCAGGCACTGTACAAACATAACATAAGAGACAGAGGACTCATTGTGGGAGGGGAGGGAGGAAGACAAGGGTGACAATAGCAACACAAGGATGCGTGGGTTAAAATGTTCAGACGAGCCAGCTCCTGTATGGGTACCAAAATAAACTCTTTTGAAAATGTGACCATCCCTGTCACAATGGGAACTGCTTGGTGCTAGACACTTTGGAGAATCTTGTTTATTTAAGTGCCTACAATTGGAGCCAAGCCCTTTTGAAAATCCAGACCTGCTCATGGGTGCTTTGAAAATTTGGTCCTATATTCTACCTACCAAAATTCCCTCCTGCTGTTTCAGTTGAATACCATGTTCTTCTTCCCCTTCTGCTCTACATTCTTGTGCACTGTTGTTCTATGGAGTTAAATAGCTGCTTTCTCCCACCCCAGAAAGGGTTGCATTCAGCATTGGGTACAGTGATACCTCCCAGATCTGTGGTTTATATAGGGCTTTGGGATTTGTCTGAAAATCTGGTCCCAGTTGTCGATACTGAGCTCTTGAAAATCTGGTTCTGAACTTGGTTGAAAATCTAGCCTCAAGTGCACAATGTGCAGCCAACATTTAAAAAAAATATTTAAAATAAGAGACATTGGGAAGAGAGATTGCTGCATCACTAACAGGCCACCCACTTGACCACCAGCCTGAGGTAATTTGCTGTTGGTGTGATGACTGGATGCTTGTGGGAGAAATGGAAACGAGGCTGGAAGCAAGGGAAGGGGGTGAGTCATAGTGCTGGAAGATAAGAGACTGGATAAGTAGGGGGAAGCTAAACTGTGAAAGGCCTTGAAGGTGAGAGCCAGATTGATGCTGTGGAGAAGAGGGAGCCAGCAGAGAGACTCAGGGAGTTACAGGGCTGGGCTGGTGAGTAGAAAGTGTGATTTGTAAATTCCCCTGCTATGGCTTTTGACATACTTGCATATGTGTGATGGAGACTGAACTGTGTTTCTTTGTGTTTGCCTGATGCACAACAGGAGTGGAGCAAGGATGAAGAAGGGCAGCTTGACTCCAGCTGGGCTGCGGGACGTGGGAGGCCAGACGAACAAAACACAAGGCGATTCAATCTGTTTTGCACTATAGTTTAGTTTTCATCACCTCATTATATCTCTGGGTTTGGTCCTGAATGTTCTGTCCCTAGGATACTTAAATGCTGAAGAAATCCCCAAACACAGTCACACCGGGTTAAGGCCTGCAACCGTATTTTAGCTTACAAGATAAGAGCTTATTAAACAGCATGGAAGTAACCTTGAAGAAAGGGAATTTCAAAAACTACAGTGCAAACACGTGCGATTTTAAACTCAAGTAGAGCAACCCAGTTAGGGTGCTTCATAAACACACTAGGGAAATGTGGTCTAGATGAAATTACTATATAGTTGGTGCAACAACTGGTTGAAAAACTGT